AACAGCAGAGCAACTCTGAAGTCAGAGAGCGGGTGTCAGACAATTCCCCCAAAACTTGATCCTAGCTTACTCTAGCCAGAATCTCTGTGCCTTTCTTCTCTCATCTGGGGGGAAAAAGCCAAGAAAAATGAACTAAGTATAGGTTATGTGTGTATGTGCTTATTAGCATGTGTGAATATACTATGTGAACATATGTATGTGAACATGTGTGAGTGTGTGAACACTGCATGTGAATGTTAGTTTATGCCCGTGTTGTTTTGCGTAAATACCTTCAGCTAATGCTTTGCACCTGCTTTGTGCATGAATAAAAATGTGTCTATTTAGTAGTTAAAAGGCTCCAAAAAACTTCCTGAAATGTACTCAGACTGTGTTCTTCTGCACTATGCTGTGTTTACACCTAGATGTATACAAGTGCATTTATTAGGAAAAAATGTAGCCCATGGCATATTAACACCAGAGGGCTAGAACTGTGACAATAAGCACTTTGTGTACTAGTTCTTTTTGTCAACTTGACAAAAGCTAGGGTCAACTGGGAAGAACGAATCTTAATCGAGAAAATGTCCCCATGGGATTGGCCTGCATGCAAGCCTGTGGCGAATTTCCTTGATTAATGGCTGATAAGGGAGGATCCAACTCACTGTGGGGCTGGGGCGTGGACACCCTTGGGTTGTTGGGTTCAGTTCAATGGGAAAGAAAGCTGAGTAAGCCGTAGAGAACACACCAGTAAGCAGCAGCCCTCGATGGCTTCTGCATCGACTCTTGCCTCCAGGTTCCTGCCTTGAGTTTCTGAGCTCACTTCCTGCAGGAATAGCATGTGATCTAGGACATGTAAGCTGGAATAAACCCTTTCCTCTTTATGTTAATTTTGCCGACTGTGTTTATCACAGCAATGGAGCCCCAACTAAGGCTGTGCCCGTGGATGTTTTCTAACGGCAATGAGGACAAGACATAGGGGCGAGGGTTCACATGTGCATGAAACCAGGAAAAAATGATCTTGCAGCTATATTTCCTTAGGATTGAATTAATGATGATAGAATAATTAAATTATAGACATAGTCTTAGAAGTGCTAGACTTCATGTCTTACCTTATGCTCCCAATACTTTTCAGTGAAAAAGAAAGATGTGCAGTTTACCCTAACAAACAAACAAATCAATAACTGTTTTAATAAACCAAAGTCTCATTTAAATACCTTCCAGTATTTTTTATTTTTCAGCATTTCCTATCGTCGTTCATCTATCTAGTCAGTATGATTCACACAGAAAAACCACTGCTAAGCACCAAAAACGCAACATAAACATAATAATTTTAGGTAGATAATATCCTCACACATAGAAATCTCTCAGAAATCCATATACTAAATCTCAGTAAGTACATCCACACTCATAATTTCCAGGATATTTGAAATTTTTAAGTAGGCAATAAGAGAAAGGAGACAAGTTATAGCAAAGAAAATGATATTAACAGAACACTGTCGGGGAGGCAAAAAAAAAAGAAGAGGAAAAAAAAAACAAAAAAAAAAAAAAAAAAAAAAAAAAAAAAAAAAAAGTAGACTTTCTCCAGTATCTATCTATTCCTAACTACTTGCACAAAACTCCAAAAAAGAGTGGCCAGCTAGCACACCTATGCACATAATTTGTACATTTGTTTATCCGAACCCAGATGCTCCTCGGGAGCATCATCTTCACATTTTCCAGCAGGTACAGACAGCGCGTTACAGTTGCCTAAGGAGACGGGCACAGAATTGCCGCTGCTCAGCGATGGCCTCCAACACTCCTAAACCCATAAGCGAGTGCATTTTCATCTCTCCCACCTAGCTACATATGTGTTTCTAAACAATCTCATTTTTGTTTAGTATGTGTGAAGGTTTCTAATTCACTAGATGTATGTTCTTAGAACTACGTCTATGGAGCTGCCAGCCATGCAGCTCGCTGCTATAGTGCACACCAATCAGGCACACAGTCCTAAGCCTGCTTCCGAGCACTGTAAACAAATGTTTGTGTGTGTGTGTCTATGTGTGTGTACATGTGACTGTATGTGCGTGTGTCTATGCGTATTTGTAGGTACATATGTTTACATGTGTTTATATGTACATGATCTGTAACATGTGTGTACACATGTATGTATATGGGTAGGAACTTCAGGAAAATTTACAACAAACACATGACTTTTTATAACCATTATCACTAATATTTTTAATTCTGCCATCCTGACTCCTTACCATTTTGCGCTGTCTGAATTTAAACACGATTATCAAATTATCCTCTTTACAGTACATCTCAAATCTTGCCACTTTGCAAACTTCCATGGATTACTTTGTGGAATCTCTGCTATCATGGAGGAGAGCCTAGGCGACTTGTGTGTCTTCTGCATTGAGTTTCATGTCTCTGGAGAGACACTCAACTCTGATCCTGCTCTCACGGACTTTTCTACCTTTGCAACCCGGTCTTTTACTGCTGATAGCAGCCAGAATCCATGCCCATGTCCAGTTTTATTCTACATTCTTTCATGAAGCTTTCCACCTCAAAATGATCCCTCTCCAGCTACTTCTCCCTCCTCTCTCTGCTCCTTCTCCTTACGCTGCATGCCGATCATCTACCGTAGTGGGGCTTACCATGTCTCAGATTTTGTGAGAACCATTGCTACTTCCAATAGTTACAACCTTCTTAAAGCTAGACTACTTATTGTTTGGCAATTATTTCTTCATTCATAATTTGCAGTACTTGGTTTTGTGCAGTGACCACGCAAGTTCTTAATTGAATGAATTACTTTAAAAAAAAGATTGTGTGGTGTCTCAAGCCTTAAAAATACATATTATCTGTTGTCCCCTGCCAAGCGTGACTTCTAAAATAATAACCATTGCTACATATGAGGCTATTTTAATAATAGGCATGTGTCATAATTCCTATATACATGTGTGTTCTGCAGTACAATGTTGGCTAATCTGCTTCTTTGAGGAAGAAGACACTTCACGCTGCTGTCAATCATATCTGTCCAAAAGCCCTAACTTATGTTCAAAATAAAGTTAGGTCTCTGAAGTCAGAAAAAGTACGTCCGTGAGAAAGCAAACTGAGGAGGCATAAAAGAATATACCGTGGCTATGCTGTGCACAGTTTAAAACAGTGATATTCTGTGGTCTGTACTTTCAACCTATCTGTCAATACGTCTAGGGAAATCAAGGACACCTCTACTCAAAGACCATGAACCAAGACAAGTAAGTGACATTTTGAGACATACCAACTGTGCACATAACATCACAAGAGCTGGGTAACAAAGTCATACACTGTGCAGGGTCTGCACTACCACTGTCCCTCATTCTTCTGACCATGTTTTGCTGTGTAGACTTCTGAAGGCACCATTCAACACAGTCTGCTCCCATCTGACATCCAATACAATGATGTTTGACATAGTGACACACTAAACATTCATGCTAGCTTTCTCAAGATCTTGACATTAGCAACTGAAATTTTTCAGACAGCAGATTTTGAATATAGAAACTTGATACCATAAGGTCATAAAAACATTGCTTCTGGACAAGGAATATTGTAAAGATAGGAATAAGTGCATAACGTTTATTTTCCAGTGTGCACTAAAGTCACATCCCTCCTGTATTTCATGTTGCACTACCTGAATACAAAGATGTCCTGAGTGCTATACTTTGGAGGAAATGAATGGAAAAAACAAACAGAAACACTGTTACTTCTCTTTCCTTTTTATGGCACTGGAGACAAGTGCTGTTGATCAGAGTATGGACTTGTGAATGTTAGTTAGGCAGATGTGTTCTATGCTCCTGAATTACAAGTACCTCATGCCATTACTTTAATTTTTAATTATAAAAATAAATTTAGTAGGATATTTTTCCTCTAATTCCCCAATTAATGTATATTTAAACATATATCTTACGCAAGATTGCTCCTATAGTTTGCTACCACGTTTCTTCACAGACTAGTTACAAAACACCTGTTTCAAAATAATTTGAAGCACGGTTCTTACGAGTAAATACCCCGAGACTCCACTCGACCCCAGCCCTGCCAGAACTCCTTGGAGCGAGACACTAGCGTGTATGAATTAAAAGCAAGTTTGCCCATGTGATTCCAATGTACAACACGTTAATAAGGAAAACATACCCACTCATAGTCTCAACATGGTATGTTCAGAAGAAAAGTTGCCAACTGATAGCTTCCAAAAAAATATTGTGTTCAAACACCCATTCTTAGGATTTCTACAGGGCCAATAGACAGACAAATCAACAAACACGTTTCCTCAGTTCACGACATCACTTAGCTTCTTATTTCTTGGTGCATTAATGTAGGAGGGGGGTACCGTCTCCGCACCTGGGGATACTGACCTCCTCTTACTACAGTTCAGAATATTGGATCTTGTCAGCATAGGCTTTAAGCCTGACCCTGGACTGCCAAACCTTCCAGAGTCCTGGCAAGGAGGCCTCCCCAAGAGCGCAGGGCAGGGCTCCGTCAGCACCTAGGACAGCGCCCGGCGGAGGAAACCGGGCCTCAAGCAGCAGAGACCTGGGACACCCACCCGAGAAGCCGCTAGACACAGACTACAGACACTTGCTCTTCTCTCCCGCAGTCAGTAGCTCTTTCCAAATGACAACAAAGGAAATCCTAAGTACCTTTCACCTAGGGATGCAAGCCGCCCCCACACCCAGTCTCCCTTCACAGTCTTCAGCGCCTGTTGCTAAGGGAGGGGAGACAGCGCTCTGGAAGCCTGGCGACCAGGTGACAGCCCTCCTGAGATGCTGTCTGCCTCGGGCGGCGCTGAGGACCGGAACTCTGGGCCATCCTAGGACCCCGCGACAGGCCTGGCGCCCACGAGCGTGCAGGGAGCGGGGCGGGCAAGAGCCCGGCGCCAGAGCGCGCGGCTTCCCCTGCGGACCAGGAAGCCCAGGCCAGCTAAGGCCTCCAGCCCAGCACGGGAGACATAGAAGGGCCCAAGCGGCCGGGTAGGGCCGGGGACAGCTTGGGGAAGCGCAGGCACTCACCATGTTGACTTCAGAAACCATGTCGATGCTGGCGATGTCGATGTTCATCCCCACGCAGACTGGGGGACCTGCGGGAAGCGCAGCACACCGTGATCAGCCAGGCTTCAGCAGGGGGGTACGGGTGGCTCTGGGGATGGGGGGGGGCTCGCAAATGACCACCCACCCCACCCCGTTGCAGCTCCGCGGAGGCCGCCCCCGCCTCCCTCTCCACCCAGGCCGCCAACACGGAGGATCGCGCTTCCCGCAGCGGCCGCGCGCATCCCACTTACCCCCGAAGTCGGGTCTCAGACGAATGTCGTAGCCTTTCAACAGCTTGTCGACGGTCTCCTTCACAAAGGACATGTTCCCGGGGTCGTTGACGCTGAAAGAGGGGCACGGAACACAGGGTCAGGCAGCGGCTCGCCCGCCAGCGCCCGGCGCGCACACAGCGCGCCAGCCCGCGCCCGGCCCGCTTCCCGTCAACCCATCAGCGACCCTACCTCTGGGCGCAGCAAACCACCGCCACCAGCACCGGGGCCGAGAAGATGCCGAAAAGCCTTCCTCCCGCAAAGCCCCACATCCCTTCGCCGCGCCCCGGCACGGGGGAGGGGGCGCCCCGCCGCCGTCGCGACCCGCAGCCGGGGCTGCTGCTGCTGCTGCCACCACCGCCGCCGCGCTGGCCCGGAGCGGAGGAGGCGGAGGGGGAGGGGGAGGAGGGCAGGGGGAGGAGCGGGCCGGGAGGGAGGAGCCCCGGCGCGGGAGCGCTGGGCGGGCGGAGGCGGGGGGCGGAGCCGGCCAAGAGCAGCACCCGCCCCCTACGAGTCCGCGGTCACCGTGGGGCTCCGGGCACCCTCTCCAGCTGCGGTAGCGGCCGCTCGGGAGGTGCGGGGAGGGGCCGGCGTGCGGCCGCAGATCCGCTCTGGCCACTGCGGGCGAGGGCCACGACTGCGTGGCGCCTGGCAAGGCGGGGGATGGGCCACCGAGCCAGCTCCTCTGAGCTCCCTACAGCCGGACGAGGGAGGGATGGTACCCTGAGATGCAACGGGAGGGCAGCAGAGGCGTGGGAAATGCTCCGCATCCCCCCCCCCCCAGCCCTATCCCACCCTCCGCCTCCAATCTCGCCCTGCTCTGCCGGAGACCCACTGGGCGCTGCACAGAGGCTCGGCGAGCTGCCTGGTCAGGAGCCTTGCGGCAGAGCTGTGAGGAAGCCCCATTCTCACCTGCTGGGCTCAGATCCGCGGATCCCCAGTGTCCAGGAAAGCCAGATTGACAGCAGCAGGGCCTGGAGCCCGGAGCACATGGCGTTGCTCCTCTAGCCTAACCTGAGTGGGATCTGCTCCACTCCACCGTCACTGAGCTAGGAACCAACGGCGACGTGGGGATCCCCGCCTCCCTCCGCCCCTACTCCCACCCCCGGGCTTTCCCTCCTGACCCATCCTCCAGCCCCTTGCAAGGCGGCCCGATTATCTATTTATCAAATATGACTATGTAAAACAGGCTCCTTAAGCTGCGCCTCTCCCCGTGTATCCTGCCTAACCATGTGAGCACTGAATCTTTTCCTGCTCACATAAAAGCATTCATAATTAACTGTTAAGTGAAATCTCGTCGATAAACTGCAGTCCAAACAAGACTTAAGAGACCCTGGCCTCTCGCTATAATGGTGGGAAGTAACGAGGCTTTTCTGGTGCACACCAGAAACATCCACACGTATTTTAAGGTAAAGGTCTTTGTTTTCCTTGTGCCTGGCTACCATCCTTTGGTGGTCATTAGATAACTGCTCGAATATTGGTCAAAAACAAGAACTGGTGTACCCCGATTTTTTTGTGTGTGTAACCACTGTATACCCGCTGGTGCCCATTCCATCTGTGTGGCAATAGAATACTCCCATTGCTGCCTAACCCGCCATATGTATCACCACAGTACACCCAAGGGTGCCTACTCGCCTGTCGCCACAGGTTTCCTGTTTATCTATAGTGACTGATACTCTTCAATAAAGTTTCCCGGTACCTGGGCTCCGAACACTGAGGAAGATGGCTCCACCACCCTAGTACAGTCAAGTGGGAGAACCACAGATCAAGTCAGCTTCTAGTTTCTGTAGGCTGGTTCAGGCGTCCAGGCTGTGACGAGTGCTTAATAACATAACCACTTTCCAGTATTGACTCAGTTTTTTCTTTCTCTTTTCTTTTTGATGATAAAGATTTATGTCGGTAAATATCTAAATCTAGACTTTCACTCTCAAGCCGGCGTATTTCTGTGCATTAATCTTAAATACCTTTTCTTTTCTAAAAATCAGCAGTTTTATTTTTAGGACTGTATTGTGGCTGCATTACCTGGAAGGTTCAGAGATAAATATAGCTCCCTAATTATTTTCTGGAAAAGTCCATTCACGAGTGCTTTGTATTCTGTGCCTGTTCGCGTGCACTAGAATTATCTGCAAAGTGGCACCTTCGTTATGACACACATTCGTGATTAGCCCGTGTCTCCTGCTCATGTGCACTAGCTGTAGTGATAGATCCTGCTGGGAACGTGATTCTGCGAAGGTTATGACAATCAAAGGAACGTGAGAATAAACCAGCAGTAACCCAGGGCTGTCCTCCTCCCTGCTGGTCTAGATGTCCGAAGATCGGAAGAAACACAATACCAGTCAGCTGTGAGCACCCTAGATCCCTGACTCCATCTCTCCCTGCAGTTCTTGGCCTTGCCAGTCACCAGCGGTTACTCCAGCACCTGCTTCTGCGACACTTCTGATACCCCTTATACGGGAACAATCCCTTACTGTCATCTCATTATGTCTTGTCGGCCTCCTCAACTGATGGAGAGAGAGGATCAAATGCATCCTGCTCCAAATGGCCCTACTCAAAATTTGAAATTCCAGAAAGTCAGAGGTCCTAGGATGGACCTTTGGCCAATGGAAAGAAGCAGGGAGTGTATCCACACTTCTTAGTGCCTCTCAAAGCTGACCCTATGAGCCAGACCTCTCAGCTCCCCGGGCTCAGTCACAGCCTGTTTGCCGGCAAACCCTCCAGGGCTCCCTTTCCAAGTCTCGAGATCTTTTTCCTTTCACTCCTGTTTGAATTGCTGCTGCACACCTTCATAAAGGAATATCACTTACATTTTGCCTCAGGAAATGTTTTCTGGGGAATCCAGGCTAAGCCTGGAACCACCTGGCAAGTCATTAAAAATACCACTTTAAATGCAATCACCATAAGACAGGAAAGAAGCATTTAAGGGGACACACTCATGTAACCACTGCGATCCAGTTGCCTGTAGCAACAAGGCGCTCATGCTCCAGGTCATCACAGCCACTTCACGCTGTCCTCAGCCTACTTTAGTAGGTACGCCAAAAGGCTGCGTGAACACTGAACACTTCACCCCATGTCCTTCTCCCTAGTGACAACGTGTCGGCAAATTCAAAAGAAGGACCAGTCTTAGTTAGCCCAGAGGATTGGTCATTCTTCTAAGTTGTATATTATAGGAAACAAAATGGGGAACATCAGATTGCGTGCAAAGGATTATGGGAGGCTTGACAGCACACAGACTGGAAGTGAGGAAACCAAATTAATTCCACCTCTGCTGTATTAACAAATCACTTCCCTGCTCTGTCGCGCATTTTTTTTTCTTGTTTCTGGGCTAGAACAGTGCTCATTCATGATAAAAAAAAAAGATACTATTTTTTAAATCCTTATGTACCAACTGTACAAAATGCTGAATTTGATTTTGACAGACTTTTGCAATCCGTGGTGGATAAATATTCACGACATAAGAAAAAGGAGGCAAATGGCATTTGGTTCACAGCTAGGCAGCTTTGAGCAGGCTAGGATTCCTTGGTATCTAAGTCCTCAGGTGGAGTGGTGGGATTTTCTAGACATTTTTGGCATACAAGATTTGCGGGGAGCTAGTGTACCCTGTTTGAAGGAGCACTCATGACATGAGCTTGGCCAGGTCAAAGGCCCCAGTGACTAGTGCCTCAGACTCGAGAGAGGCCAGGCCTTCCCAAAATCAGACTCAGGGAATAGCAAGGCCTTCCCTGGTCCCAGTACAGACATCGCCAGTGTGCATAGAAAACATCAACCACAACTTCCTCCCTCTGGATGACCAAAGCCATAAACTGCTCCTGGGTGGACAGCCACTATCTATCTGCCTAGGTGAGTTAACCCAACTGCTCATCCAGCTGACTCTGATAAACTTGCTGAGCTTCTGGGCTTCTGGTGTATCTCCATCAGGGTGCACATCAATCACCCAATCCCAGATTTTCTGTGTGCGCTTCTTTTGTTTCCTCCTTCCCTGCCACCCAGCCAGCTCAGTCTTAAAGCCATGTAGACCATGGCAACGTTTTCATCATTTTCTTTTGTTTGTTTGTTGTTTACTGGTTCTCTGGTTTTCATTAGCCTTCTTTCACTACAGATTTTTACTAATTTGGGTCTTTGATTACCCATGGGGTTGTTCTTTCAGTCTTCACTTCATGCCTGCAGTGAACTCCACGATTTCTCTCTATTCACTGCCTTTTCCGTTTGGCTGGTTCTTGTTTATGCAAGGCCTCAATGCATATCATTAGGGTATATATCTGCGATCTGTCTATCTATCGGAAGCACTCACAGTGAGAGATGCTTTTCCTGCGATTCTCATGTTATCAATCTGGACTTTTGACCCGCTGGGATCTGATGGGACACAGGGAACTGTTTCTATTGTTTTATATTTGGTGATATTTGTTTTGTCTTGCCAGAAATGTCATCTCTTTTAGAGAAAGTTCCTTGGGCTGCCAAGAGGATGTGTATGCTTTGGATGCTAGGAGTAACCTGTAAATCTCTGTTAAATGAATTTAATCTATTATGCAGATATATTCTGAGCTTTATTGATTTTTAGTCTGTCTAACCAATTTGTTGGTAAGAGTGGAGAGTTAAAATATTCTACTATTGTTGTACCTACCTCTTCCTTCATTTCCATTATTATTATTTGTTTAGATAACCTTGGGGCCCCTAAGAGTCGATGTATATGTGTTTCAATTGCTAGTCTTCTTCATGGAGTCTTCCCTTTGTTCAAATGTGGTTGCCATCTTTAATTCTTCTAATTGCTTTGATTTCAAATAACTTAGTCAGATTTTAACTGTTACACTAGCTTACTTGGGCGTCTCTGCCTCATGAATTCTCGGCCATCCTTTCATTTCCAGCTCGTGTCTTACCGACTGAGGTAATTTCTTAGGGCCAAAAGAGAGTTGGATCTCATCTTTTAAATGTAATCATCGGGTCTGTGACTTTAAATTGTGGCGTGAAGGCCGTTTAAATTTGGGGTTATTGAGGGCTTTGCTGATTCTCGCAATTTTTTCTCTGATTGGATTATTATTTGGTGCTTTGTCTTCTCCATCCATAGGAAGGTTTTTGCTGATTTAGTGTGTTGGACATGATTAATTCTTTCTTCATTTTCTTTTGTTCATCTTTCACTCCCAAGAAATTCATTCTTTGCTGCTTCCCTGGGTTGACTTTCTTTCAGTGACTTGTTGAACATCTTCTGTGATTATAGTTGGCTTTAGCTTGCTCTTGAAGTGTCCCTCTGCTCTGTCAAACTTGAAAGATAACTTTACTGAATGCAGTAATTTTGGTTGAAGGTTATGCAATTTCAAGCCTGAAGATCTATATTTTCTTAGATTTTAA